TTATTCTTCTATCAGCCATTATAATATTGGTTACTTATGAGAAGTGAAGATGATTTGGAATTACATATTAGTATTTTTGAGAAGCCATGAATAACTTGATACAAGTGTCGTGATTGCATCCACAAATTCATTTTTATAAAAAAGATCATTTGCTGATTGATTAACAAATATTACCACGTTTATTTGGTGTTATCGATTGAGTCACTGATTAACTGTATTTTCGAGAGCAACTAAATTTTGGAACTAGCTAGTGATGACTTCATAATTTTTTTTTTTGTTGGTTCACTTTAAATTTTGTTTTTAATGGAGTTTTATCAGCTTGAAAATATGTAATTTTTGAAAAATATATGAAATTGGTATGATACTTTCAATGGAAACAATTCATTAGAAAGGTAAAAATTTTAAAAAAATAATAAAAAAAATCTCTCCCCTAACCTTATAGATCAATAACTAGTTCAAAAAAATATTAATAATTTTTCTCCCATATTATCTCTCTTTCTCCCTTATGTTTAGAATTTTTTTTTTTTTTTTTAATATAGCTAGTCACTCCATCGTATGACTCTATTAACTAACTTCCTTTTAATCTAATCCACGAAGGATAAACTAATTCTTTTAATATATCAAGTAAATAGGTTTGGAGCATCTTCGATAATGCTCTATTTAATTAAAGATATATCTTTGAGAATTTTCATAAATACGGAATGTGATTTTTTATACAAGTAGAACAATAATTTATATTTCTTTTTAATTATCTTTTTTCAATAATTTTTTTTTAAATACAATGATATTAAACTTTTTTCCACAATATAGTTATCTTTTTTGAAACCAAAATCAAAACTACTTCATAAATCACCACGAGCATCGCGTCTAAAAATTTTGTGATACAATTAGGGGATATTTGGGAGTGATTTTTCACTACTAAAAATTAAGTTTTTGACTATTATTTCACTATTCTAATCATAATTTTTTATTTTTTCTCTTACAAATGACTCCAACTATTTTCGTAACGGTCAAAAAATCAATTTTTAAAACCTCTCGTAAAGAGGGCCTTAATCCAGTCACAATCAACTGGAGAACAGATAGCTATAAATGCTAGCTTGAGGTCATCAACATCATATTATTAATCTAAAAACAAATGGAAAATGCTAAATCATTAATAAAGCTACAACTTGCATTAATACAGCAAATTGATACGACCCACAACTTGCATTATTAAATAAAGCTACAATATAAGGAAAACATGAATGTACGACAACGACGTGAAGTCCGGCCTAGAGGCACTGCTTCACTATTTATTTATAAAATTAAATTACTAGGTATAGACGAATATATCTATTTATTATACCACTGTGTATTGATTTTTTTTATTTAGATATTTGATATGTATTTTTCTATATAAATAATATGTATTAAATCATCACATTTTCAAGCACATGTCAAAGTAAATTTATTTATAACTTGGATCATATTCATCTTGGTTATTTGACTTTCATATTAATTAACATGTAAAGCACACGCAAAATAATCAAACACTTGATGAGTTAAAAATATGCCAAATCCTCATTCACGTATAAGTAGAGCTAATTTGGCATGACTTTTAAAAAGTCAAAATGAGCTTCTAAAGTCCAAAAATTATTTTTGAATTCATTTGATAAATTTTAAGTGTTTCTTATTAAAAGCGTTTTTTTGTGAAAGTTAATCCAATGTCATTTTCTTTAAAAAATCTTTCAAAAGAAAAAATTATTTTAAAAATTAGTTTTCAAACGCTACTTAAGATAACGTTTTCAAAAAATTCTGCTACAAGAATCAAAGCCGTGCAAAATGAACTCTTAATAGACCTTAAAAACTCAAAGCTTGCTATATGTGGTCCAGGACAAGAAAGATTTTTCTAAAATGTAATGCTACATGTATATCGAGATATCCATTCCCCTCACATAGAGAGAAAACCATTTTGAATAAAATCATATTTAACTGAAGTGAATCTCCCTTTATGTGAGGGGGTGGATGTCCGGATAGACATCACTTGATGTACAAGTAGCATTATCAATTTAAAAAAAATAAATTGTTATTTGTAAATAATGTAATGTTCATATCAGTGTTCCATTCCCTAACATGGATCCTCCTCAACTCCTCTGTGAGAATGATGAACATTGATATGAACATTTTGATGTTAAAAACTCTAACCAATCTTCCAAATATGGTCACATCATGTTAGTGGTAATTGGCGTCATCTTGAGGCGCATAGACGTTTTTACCGTATTGCCGCGTTGGCTTAGAAGTGGATGTCTAATTGTCGGCGTAGGTGACCCAATTATGTAATAATTTCAGTTAATTGATGATGACTGGGTCATTGGCACAACCAAAATCCAGCTCATCCCACGAATAGCGTCAAATTTGTATTTTACAAACTTCCAAATTTTAAATAATTAAATATCCTCAGTTTTAATACAATTCATAATTATATATTCAATCAAAATTAAATATGAATTGCAGCCACTCATAAGACTACCAAACGAATACGAATATATAAAATTTTATTATAGATTATTCTTATAATATTGGTTAACTATAAGAAGCAAGAATGGCTTGGAATTTTTACATATACGTGTATGACAGTTCAAACGTGTTGCAATAACAACCACGAATTTATTTTAAAATAATGTGAGTGCGATTAATTTATAACCCCACCTTCATTTGGTGTTATTATGATTGTGTTGATTAGGCCAATGCCTAACAATAAGACTATAATTATGTAACTGACCAATTATTGTGGATAGTCCATGGAAGTTATTATCACTAAATTGATATGTAAATTACTGAACTAGAAAGTCCTCTTATTAGAATATATGCAAGTTCACCTTTTAATATTTCATCCAATATCCACAATTATAAAGATGCTAATGTATAAAGATTTGGACTATTACTTTGAATAAAGTTACTCTCTTCAGATAGAATATTAGAACCATTAAACCCCCGTTTGATAGTAATTTTTAATTTAAAAAAAATCTATTTTTAAATCGTTATTTTAATATTTCAGAATTCATTTTTTTTACTTCTTCACTCACAGATGAGACCCGTCTTTCTCTTTAACGGTCAAGAAATCAATTCTCATAATCACTACCGAACAAGCCTTAAGTTTTAATGATCAATTCAATCCGTCTAAATTCAAAAGTTCAAACGATATTCGAATTTCAGTATTTATGTGTTCAAAAAAAGTCATATCTATTAAGTATAAAAATATTAACCAATATACATTGAATCAAGTTGTATATATCTCTAGTTTTCTATCTTTAAACTTTTTTTTGGGTATTAAGCTATATGTTTTGTCTATAGGTGAAATTCGTCGTGTTTACACTTTTCATCGCTAGAAACCGGAAAGATGATTTTGCTCTCAAATTAAATGAAAAAAAAAGAAGAAGAAGAAGAAGAAGAAAAGAAAATAGAATATAAAAAGTTGGTTCTCAATGTGTCATACAATTAGAGGTTAAGGATACATTAAATTTACTTGATACGTTGTGTATTAATCAAGAATTCTAATAATATTTTGCAAGATTCTAAGTGTAGTACTTTCAATTGCAAAAGAAATTTCAAACATAAACAATTATTGGGAACAAAGTGTACTAATAAAAGAAAAATTAATACAAAAATGCGAAAACAATGAAAAATTAATGTAGTTTTAATTTTATAATTATTTAAATATAATCAACTACCCATTAATTCAACTATAGACCACCCATTAAATAATTAATGGAGTGACCCAGACCCAATATGTCAGTCAAGTCGACAATCGAGTAGGAAATTTGATGGGAGTATGGTGCACCAAAGGTCACATTCTCAACTTTAATCATAAGTCATCTTATCTTTTTGGGTCTTCCAATGTATCATTTCCGTCCAATGGAATTCATAGGATGCCAATAATAATTCAGCTTTCCAAAGGGTGTGGTAGGTCCCATTTAGTTTGAATGAAATTAAAGAAATCATTAACCCAAGTGACAAGCAGCAATACATGAAAATCATGTGACTTTTATTTGGATTCTTGTGAAATATTATTTTATTCTAAAATTTAACGATGAATTTATATAAAGAAACATTATGAACTTGTTTGGTACAGCTATTAAGTCAATTAAAATCAAAATTTTGATCGTTATTTCACTATTTTAGTCATCATTTTTGAATTCTTTTCTCACAAATAGGACACACTTTATCTCTAATGGTCAAAAAATCAATTACCAAAATCCCTACCGAACAAGCACTATAATTTATGAAAAAATGTTCAACGACATATCGAACTTTAAATTTATTGAAAACAAAATAAAGGTTATTGTTGCTGTGTTATTAATTTATTTAATTGAATGAATAACTGGCTATTTATTATGCTTATTTTTCTTTCTTCATAAATATCTTAGTAATTACACAAAATGCAACTAATTACACTGCCAAATCATTGCTGCATTTTATCTGAAGAGTATATGTGTGTGATTCTTTGAATGAATATACAGCATAAAGGCACATTCTCGTAATTTTGAAGATTTTTCTTTGTTTCTTTTGAAAATAAACTCATTATTAAAAAAAAATGACTATATTATCGTCACGATTTTTATTTTTCTATTTTTCATAGTTAAATGCATCACACCAAACGCTGAACAGGGCACCGTTAGCAGTAGTACATATGATGATTCAATATTAGAACATGCATTGACAAGGACGTTAATGGTCGTCTATTTCTGGTAAAAACAAATACATCTCCAATATTCAGAATTTCTCAGTTTTTGCAGATATATATTAGCTTGATTCTGAATAATCGGAGGCTCGGAGTTTCTTGGACTTCTCTCAGTTAATTAAACTGTACGTATATATTGTTCATGGTAAAAGTTGCGTGAAGCATTTGTTCTCTGTCCATTTACCTTTTAGTGCTTATATATATGATAATGCAGGGATATTTCCATTTTTCTCTATATATGTCAAAAATCATAGTTGAGGGGCTTGATTGGTTATCATTTGGTCCGTCTGTTGTCTACTGATTTCTTGAATATAAGCACGATTTCTAATAATGTTATTTCTGGGTTTTTGATTTATTGTGAAAGTCTCTCTGATTCTACTATAATTTCTGTGAGTTAAGATAAGATCCCAGAAAATTTGAGAGCTTTTCTGAAGTGGGTTTTACGAATTTTAATTATTTAAGGATCTGCTTTGCTTAAGTTCCTTATTTCGACATTTAGAACACTGTTTCTTGAATAAATCGTTGATAGCAACTCATCTCTTTAAATAAAATTATTTATTTGCAGATAGTTGTGGGGGGAAAATTGAAAGTAATCTGCTGATATAATTCTTGATACAATTCAATCAATTACGATTTCTGTGACTCATGAAAGAATGTTGAACCAAAAGATTTTTTATTAGATTTCTTAGGTAAGAAAATGATCGTTTTGTGTTTAACTTTGACAATTTTATTAAATCCAAGTTTTAGAGCTGATTCTTTAAGCTTTCTCTTCAGATCTCCTTGCTAAGGCTCCTAAGATCCTTTGATCTGCTGTACATATAAAAACTTCCAATCTTCATTGGTAGTGTTTATCAAATAGTTCAACGATGACGACTGGAACCCTTAAACCATCGAAAGAAAAAAAGTCGAGGAAGAGCAAGCGAGCAGTGGTTGTCAATGAAAAATCTCCTTTATTGCCCACCAAGAAGCATGAGGCTGATGGTGGGTTTGATGAGTTCGATGGGGCCTCCTTTAGTGGGGCAGTGTTTAATTTATCAACCACGATTGTTGGAGCTGGAATCATGGCATTGCCAGCTACCATGAAGATTTTAGGACTTGTCGTTGGGATTGCTATGATCATCTTTATGGCATTCTTGACAGAGGCATCAATTGAGCTGTTGCTTAGGTACAGTAGGACTTCAAAATCAGCTTCTTATGCAGGTCTTATGGGGGATGCTTTTGGAAAGTATGGCAGGATGTTGATACAACTCTGTGTGATAGTCAACAACATCGGTGTGCTTGTTGTATATATGATAATCATAGGTATGTTGTCAATTAAATTGAGTTATTTATTCATTTTTCTCTGTTGAGTGTTGTTCATTCCATATTGATCCATGAGGCTTTTATTGATTGCTGCTTTAACTTATGTTAACTGCAGGCGATGTGCTATCCGGAACCACTTCAAGTGGAATTCATCACGCAGGTGTTCTTGAAGCTTGGTTTGGACAGCACTGGTGGAATGGAAGATTTGTTATTCTGCTTTTCACTACCCTAGCTGTATTTGCGCCATTGGCCAGCTTGAAGCGAATCGGTGAGTTTCTCAACTTTTAACTCCAAATACTTGGAAGATAATACTTGAATGATTTAGTTCTTAAGTTCAACACATTTAATGAATGTTAAATCCTATTGCCATTTAATAGGCAGAATCTTTTCATTGGTTGGTTGAAGTTGTCTGAGAGGCTTGCTGTGGTACTATTCATCTTCCGAATTATATAAGGATTGATCCCAGATGACTGACGTAGAAGGTGTATAGATTTTGACTTCCTGACTATTAGAAGTCTGTGTATCACCATTCCCAAAATTGTTTGAAGAAAAGTTATCAACAAAGTAGATACTCTTATCATAGATAGCTTCTTTCCCCCAACTGAAATTCTAATTTAAATTTCATTATGTGCTTATCATGTATAAATTTTAGAAGTAAATATTTTCTTTTCTGCTCCCAGTTATCACTTGATCCTACTTGAATTTGAATATTGATTTCTTGCAGTAACAATTAGTGCTTTTCATTTGTGGTTGCAGATTCATTGGGATACACATCTGCTTTATCAGTTGCACTGGCTATTGTATTCCTTGTCATTACTGTGGGAATTACTATCTTCAAGTTGATAAGTGGAACTGTTTTGATGCCTAGATTGTTTCCTAATGTTACGGATCTTACATCATTCTTCAACCTCTTTACCGTAGTTCCGGTTCTTGTGACTGCATACATCTGTCACTACAATGGTATATGTAGTTTTATATCTGATTTTAAGATTTTCTTGTCTGCTAGTTAATGCTTCACATGGGGGTGTTAGGATAGTGAGAAATACTTAGTTAAGGATCTGTAAATGAAATTAACATAGACTATATTATTCATATCGCTGGGGGGAGGTGAACACTCTGCAATCTGAACCCTTTACCTCCAGGGAAATTTGATGACAATTCTTTCACACTTATATTGTGTTTCATGGCTTCTGGTTTTAAAATATAAAGAGGTAATAAGAAACACACTCCAATAAATTCAAAAGATTTTTCTTGTATGTGATCCGAAAAGAAAGGGTATTGATGGAGAAAATTGTTTATTGTCAGAAGCATAAGAATTTTTTTTTTTTATCTGCATGTCACACTGAATATAAACTTTCTAAGCAGCAACAGTTTCGGCAGGCATCACATGTTCCCCTAATAATTACTAAATTTTACCGCTGTTTCGAACTATGCATGAAAACATGGATGGAGGCCCTAATAAGTTCTAAATAAAGTGTTCCTCTCCAATGAAAATTATCATTTTTCATTCCATTAACTATTCTAATGAAGTCAAACTTTTGCAGTTCACTCAATAGACAATGAACTAGAGGACAATACACAGATAAAGCCAGTTGTGCGAACAGCCCTTTCTCTCTGCTCAAGTGTGTATATATTGACTAGTCTCTTTGGATTCCTCTTATTTGGTGATGCTACACTTGACGATGTACTATCCAACTTCGACACGGATCTCGGAATTCCGTATAGCTCCCTGCTTAATGATGTAGTTCGAGTTAGCTATGCTGCGCACTTGATGCTTGTCTTTCCTATTGTTTTCTATCCACTGCGAATAAACTTGGATGGCCTCCTCTTTCCATCCGCAAGGCCTCTGAATTCAGACAACTTAAGGTTTGCATCACTCAGTATTGGGCTCATTGCTGTTGTCTTTCTGGGGGCAAATTTCATACCCAGCATATGGGATGCTTTCCAGTTTACTGGAGCAACGGCTGCAGTCTGCATAGGTTTCATCTTTCCTGCTGCAGTTGCTCTCAGGTAATCTCAACTTCTCTACTAGTGGGACAACTGTGAGATTAATAATGATGCATCTTTCTTTGGCAAGTTTAAGATTCTGGAGTCTACAGCTTGTAGAAAGACATTGACTTGTTTGTAATTTGGATAACACCACTGGACACTAAAAGAAGCTAAAATGTTGTTAATTATACTATCCAATCTATCGAGTACTATGTACCAAATATGTCATCTAGGTTTAAAGACAAATCTTCACAGTTAGGTGAATTTGTAACTGACACAGACATGCACTGTGAAAGTAAGTCCTTCATTTGGTAAATCTTGAAGACCCTGTTTTTGTGTTGGATTTGATGCATTGGTAATTTTCCCTACAACTATATATATGACATAAATCCCTTGTCAAAGTTTAGAACCCATTCTTACTAGTTTAAGGTTTCCATGATAGTAAGTGTGGAGGAAAACTGTTTGCTGTTTGAGCATCAGCATCTTCTTTTCAAGTTCACCTCAGCTGTTTCTTTCCTGATACAAAGTGGCACAAAACTCACCTATTGATACAGTGGTTTAAAAATTTTGTCCAGAAGTACGTTTTCTTACATAAAAGTATGATAGTCTTAACTTTAGAGGAGGATAAAAATCTGCAACCATTCTTTTAGGCTTCTAAATCATTAATACGTCTATATTTTTTGCACTGCTAAGAAGTAAATTGAACGGGTTCAAGTAAAAGGTTCTAAAATGTCTCAAGTCTCTTTTTTCATTGTTGAGAATGTGAGAATTGAATTAACTTTCCTCACATCTGTGGGCAGACCCACACAGGTTCATGTGGGGACAAGTGACCCCACAAAAATTTTTGACCGTTCATTTTTTTTTTTTTTCCCTTTTCAAGTGCAAGTATCTTGCTTACGCTCAACGAATGTCCCTTTTCTTACTTTATCTGATTATCTATTTGTTATGAATTATTGAGTTTTGGCTTTAAAAATTCTTCAAATATGAATTTAGTGGTGAAGAAATAGAGAGAAAAGGGTCTCAAACATAGAAGAATCTTACAGTTTCTAAATTATTTTTGGACATTTTGGAGAAGTAGAAATAGCTAAAATCATGGTTTACGTGTTGGATCCTTGCAGCCTTTGGTATTCGTCGTATATGATATTTGATTGAAATTAATAAGTGGGTAGTTTTCTTTTTTCTGTACTTTATATTTGATTTTGTGTGATTTTAAAGGTTGAATGTGATTGGGAATATGAGGGTGTTATTGAAATTATTATTTTAGATGGAAGATTTTTTGGAGTTCAAGATTTGGGTAATTTTGAAGTATAACGAAATTTGGCCTCTTTCACATATTTGGGTTTGCTCTTTGGCTGACTGTTAAAAATTGGATGTTTAGATTAACGAATTGTTGCCCGCAAATTTGAATTTCAGTTTCCTGCAAACACTTCCATCCTTGAATTCTCGCAAAGTATGAAAATGCTAGACCATAATTGTTGTAGCATATTGATTTATTTTCATTAATGTTATATTTATTTATTTATTTATTTTTTAAATTGTATTTTAATTTTTGATCTCACAATACAAAAAGTTTGGGTCCGCCCTTGCTCACATCCATGTAGATTTCATTTTCTCTTCTTGTGGAGCACTATTAGTTGAGAATGTTTTAGTGTCTGTTGCCAAGTAGCTCCTTAAAGAAAAAATAAAATAAAATAAAAATAAATAAATAAACCTTTGGAGCATGTTTGCAACATAGTATTTGATATAACTTGATGTTATAATGGACAATATTTTAGCTTCTTTTTCTTTCTAATATTTCTATAATCCTATCATCAAACATTCGATTAATAAATTTGAGAACTTGATAGTCCATAGATTCATTTTTATTGGCAATATTTAGCCCTTGTTTTTTACAAAATTACTCTTTGCCAACACTCATTTTTAATCACACATTCTCTAACATTTTCCTATTATTTTCCCTATATTTTAACCATACATTTTCCAGAAAAAAAAAAAGCAAGCTTTTCACAAAATCACTTCTCAAAAAGTCAACATCACACAAGGGCTTAACCATGGCACAAAATTTGGGATTGGTTATGTTTATCAGAGAATAAGCCATGTTATCCACAATTATCAGGGGTTTAACCATTAGTTCTAACCTTTTCTTTTGGGTTTTTCCTAGTTTCTTCAATGCCTTATTTTGGGTGCCTTTTAGTCCAAAATCTCTTCAATGACACTGAGCTCAAAATATTTTCCTTGATGTTTTAGGGATCGATATGGCATAGCGACGAAGAGAGACAAGATCTTATGCATATTCATGATTGTCCTTGCCATCTTCTCAAGTGCTGTGGCGATATATAGCGATACCTATGCCTTGTTCAAGAAGAATCCGACTCAGAGAGAATGATCTCTTTTTGCTCAAGGACGCATTGAATCTCCAAGGAAATGCAGTCTAGAACTTATTTCGAGGCAGGTTTCAATAAATACCTCTACTTCTGCTCAACCTTAAATGTTGAGCAACATTTCTAAAACTGAAGTTCATGTTACCTGACTCAGCCTGTATTGTTGTGTTACAGTGTCTTTTCATACATATTGTAGACTCATTGTGTAAATACTTAAATGGGACAAGAAGTTCTATATCTATGCATTCTGTTTCCCTTGGTTTGGTTCATGATGTAATAATTATTTTGACAAAAACAATTAGTTTGCCAGTTGTATTTCAAAAAAAAAAAAAAAAAGTTGAACCCCAACCTTGAGGGTTTCCCATTACCCCGCCCCTGGAGCATCGTGAGGGAGGTAAATCGCGGGATGTGCCCCAATAGGTCAGGGAACAAGAGTTTACCTGTAGACTGATGTTCACAAAGAGTCCAATTTCATATCTCAGGAATCGAAACTTCACACTGCGGCTGCCAGCAAGGCTGAGACTACCTCACTCTTATTCTTTGCACTACTGAGCTATGCCCCGGGGGGGCAGTTGTATTTATGTTATATTACTTTTTAGTTGAAGAACTATTCCATGGAAATAGTTTGGGCAATAAACCTTTTTTTCCCCCTAAAATGTGTGAAGGAAGATGTTGATAACTATGTTGAAATAGATAGTTTTATCCATTGAATATGTTTGCACGTGATGGGCACGTGTGGATTTAAACCGTGTAAAATTACTATTTCTACGACAATCGCTAAAAGTTGAGATGTGAAAGTCTAGATTTAAAGGTTGGGGATGACTTTGCGGTACATAATATAGGTCAGGGAGACAATGTGCAATTTTCCCTCTTAAAATTGTCTTTGGAAACTAATAGCAAAAGATGAACTACCGTAAAATAACACGTAAGATCATCTTCAAGAGGTCTTTAAATATGAAATACTCTCTATTTTAAAGAGTCATTACTTAAATATGCTTCAAAAGAGTCTTTAAATTAACGTTTTAATTTAAAGATTAGGATTTGGAGAGTCAAACTCAATCACTATAATTAAATAAATTTAAAATATTTTAATTTTTAATATAGGAAAATAATATAATAATCTAGAGAAAAGTTAGATAAAATAAAAGATAGAGAGAAATAATAAATATTTTTTTAGAATCGTAATTAAGTGTTAAAATATAAAGAGCCTGTTGGAGTATTTCAAATTTTTTATTCTATAAATTTATAGATGTTCTCTAAATTATAGAATACGTTCTTTAAAAATAGAGTTTCTTAAAAAACTCTAATTAAAGTCAAATACAAAATCTGATTTTCTTAATTTTGATTGAAATCGTTCAAGGTTCACACTATCAGAGCCTCCCAGGTTTTCTATTGACTAGTACGATTGCATGTGCCACGTAATGTACTAGGATTAATCTAGACCGCGACAATATTAGGAACGCAAAAATACACACTAAAGTGTGATATGTAAGTGTTGAAAAAAACAAATTGAAATGCAATTGCATAAAATGTGTTAGAAAGGGGGAAAAACAAATTAAAAGTGATTCAATATACTATCGACAATCAAATGAGAATAAAATTTATTAACTGTGAAAACCTTACTATACTATATTTTCTTACTATAACAACTTCTCCCTACACAAAATTAGAATAATCAACTTACAACGTAAACATGTGCATACCATTTTTCTCTCGTTTCTCTCTGAACTCATAATTTGGGATGCATGTATTCATGGTCCGGATTCATGTCACCCTTGGTGCCAAACTCATATCATAATTGGAGCCCTAATGATTTGTGACGAACATGTATCATGACAAATACGATATAGAACTGGATCGACTAGACGGCTCAACTGTCATTTGAATCATACCATAGCATGCCACTTGTGGTTAGAAGGGAATTCTGAGTGACTCAATAAAGGAATGTCCTCTACCCTACTTTTTCTTGCTCTAAAAGAAACTAATACACAAGGGGAAAAAAAACTCAATATAATATGACAACTTTTACTTTTTTCTTTCCAAAGAAAGAGTTCTATAGTTGTTTCCCTAAAAGAACTCTTGTATTTAATAAATATATATCAAATCCAACAATTTCAACGTTGACCCCAAATTTCTCTGTCTAGATTACCTACGACTCTATTTAGACTCAAAGATTTTGTTAGAATAATGAATATTCAGAGCATTGAATTTTTTGTTCTTCATTTTTCAAAATTTTATTTGAGGTAGTTAAAAAACACATAGACTGCAGTACGTTGAACCAGCAGGATACCAAATTTTAGCTGACTTTTCATTCAGTAGATATCAATATTAATATCCTGTAAGTGTTTCAATTTACTAATCATGTAGACTACGATCCATAAAATGCATTGTAAATATTACGAGTGGTCAACAAACATTTTCCATTGTTCTAATATAGCTATACAGCTTATTCCAAAAGCCGAGTTTCGAAAGGAAAAACAAATGAATTATCTTAATGCACTCGTGTTGGAAAAATTGGGTGATTTGTGTTTAGATACTTACCAATTAACATAATCAATTTATATATCACAATAAAATAATTCAACAATAATATGAATATATGAGATGAAGAGTTAGAAATGCAAGCATTGAGAGTCAAGTCGAAAATGTTGTCCTAAAGTCTTGTTGTCTCTGCTTCGTACGAGTACTTTTTACACTACATGACTCTAAGATAAATCTCTTATGACCCACAGTCGATTCTTCTTCTTTGGACACGACCATAGGGAGATAAGTAAACGAACCCTTATCAAGTTGTCAAAACTATAGAAAAATATATAAGTATAGAGAGTATTCTTACGAAATTATCTTTTCCATGTTATGTTTAACTCCATGAAAATCACTCCCTTTTATAGGAAGAAATTCAATCCTCGCGTTCATGATAATAAATCATATTTAAGTATAAGTTACAATCTAAATTATGACTTTCAAATTTTTATTAAAATTTAAATTGAAAACTGAAAATTAAAATTACTTTTAATTTTGAAATTTAAAATTTATTAAAACTTAAGTTACACAATCCCCCACAAGTTTTAAACTTTCAACATAAATAAATAAATAAATAAATAAATAAATATATATATATATATATATAGTTAGTGTTGGTGTCTTTTGAACTTGAACCTCACTTAGTGATGTCAATTTCCATTTGATGGAGTTATAATGGACTAAGCCTTAAATTCGGTCTCTTTGACTAAATTTCAATTGTTCCACACACAATATCGATTTAGATTCTAGTTCATAGCTGATAACGCCGTTAATGATCATACGCTCAAATCTTGATTCTAGTAAGAGTTTCTAGAAAATAGCTCAATCCCATAACCACAACCTCATGACAATTCTTACATAGGTAAGTTTTCCAAGGATCTGTGGCCCACACCTCGACACTCATTCAGGGTTAAACCTTTCCTAATATCACATTATTATTAGCACTATCACTATAGGGATGAGCACAAAGAAAGTAGTGCTATTACAATTCACGTGGTACGGGTTGTTTCTACCACATTGAACTTTTTTCATGGGGATCTCCAATCATAAAGGTTGGTTTACTCGCGTAGATGAATCCTTTATGAGTTTAAGCCTATCCCCCTCGATAATTTATGTATGTCCATCTTGGACTACAAGTTGTTTATGCCCCTCTTGGACAATAATTGGTACCATGAATTTGGAAAGCTCTTATTATTTTGCATGCACTTTTACGCATCTACAAAATCTTTTAAGAAATTTTCAAAATATAATCAAACAAATATATGCAATTTTTAATATTGACTTTTGTAACACGTTTGGGTATATGCATCCATTGAGCTCTTGCATTTCACTTACAAATCTTCAATATAACTTTTAACACATTTCAAGAGTTTGTTTACAAAAAATAATAACATATAAGATGTTTTTATATGAAATTTTAAATACCCCTACATTTCAAATATATTCAGCTTGGGGAACTTCATTTTCATGTAAATAGTTTTCCACCATATCATCTATATAAATATGATATAAATATAGGAAACACATGCACTTTCTCTTGCCAAAATGTCCTACATGAACATGCACTAGCAAAATATTGTTGTCAATCTTCTTACTTCTTGAAGATACGCTAGGAACTTAGGGATGTGATAACAAATTTTCTTAAGAACACACTAGTACTAACGAAATGACTACTTTGGGATCCAAATATAATTGTAAAGAAAATTGGTTAACTATATAATATGACCAATTGTTCAAATAACGACCAAAATTGAGTGTCTAATAATAATAATAAAGTCCATTTTGATATCCCTCATATTCAAGCCATCTATAATGTGCTTTATTGAAGTCTATGAACTGTTATGTTTTCTCTTTTGACAGGATTAAACATGATGCACATGTTTATTCTAGCATATGCAGAGCGAACCAAATAATTGATTATATAAAGAATACCTACAAAAGTAGTCCAATTTCACATAAATGTATATACACTCCGTCGATTATAAAGTATAAATCACCATTACATAACTTAGACAGAAATATATAAAGCCATATTTAGCAAGACTAATAACATTATAATTTAAATAAAACCTAATAATATCACAAGATAAAAATCCCCAAAATTAAACCAATGGACTTAAGCTAAGAGACATACAAAGTCTGGTAATCGAAAGTACATCGAATCACAAATAATATAAACAATATCAACAAATCAAATTCACATTCTCACCACATTTGCCTCCTAGATTTAAGATATTTGCACTTACTTTTGGAGGAAAAAAGAAACATGCCATATAGAGAATTTCACGAACTAAATTTAAAGTCATAATTGACAATTAAATCTGCATTATATAAGTTTAAATTGTCACTTAAATTTATTTGTTATCTTTCAATTTTTCAATCTAAGCAAACATGACCTTTATTTATTTATTTATTTATTTATTTATTATTATTATTATTATTATTATTATTATTATTATTATTATTATTATTATTATTATTATTATTTGGCAAATAACGTTATCTTTCCACATCTAAATAGGGGTTAAAATCATTTTAGTTGCCAATTACCTATTTGACTCAAAATAATAAAAGCTCATATTAAACATATATCAAAACAAATGTACCAATTTTTCCAATTCATCCATTAGCCTATTTTCCTTTGACATTTTTACAAGTCACGTTCAGGAGGTTAAATATTCACGTGTCTAGAAGAGTTTAATCTCCTAATTCCATCTCAATATATACACGTCTTTTATAACACAAATTTTATTACGCAATACAAATATCTGTATAATATCTTTAAA